TGTTCCAAATAGCTGGTAAAACACCTTCGGAGATAAGGGAAGAGATCATCAGTTTACAACGCCCACTGTGCTCAAAATCTGCGAGCACTAGTACTATAACCTCAATGCTGGCTACAGCATCAGATGCGGAAATCAGCAGTGTTTGCTCTTCCGCGAGTATGGATAAAACTAATGTTTATTACTCCCAACGCTCATCTGGTAATTCATCCCCATTACCCAGAGGTGGGGCTGCAATTGTCTCTCCAACTCTTGGTGATAATTCAAAAATTTCTTCAACTCCGTTTTCTGATGCTGCTACCAAGTTGAAGCTAAGCCAAAGCCATCTGTCGTACAAGAGGAAGAAGCAACTTTCATATACTCCTTACCCTAAGAAGGTGCACAAAGAAAAGTTATCTGGATCACCCTCAGCATCAACCAGCAAGGCAAGCTCTAGTAATAGGTTTGCCTTACTAGACATGGAGGTGGACCTAGACAGTGACAGACCTGTTGAGGAAAGAAGTAATCTTTCCTTGGCAGATGCCCAAACAGATTTAAATGATGATATGGAAACAATTGTCTCAGATAATGAATTTGAACAAAATAATTCTAATGGCAAGAATAATCCCAACAATAATTTAAAACCACCACAAATTGTTCTAAGTTTTGTCAACCTTAACGATCTATTTGATGTTATTTCGGGGATCACTAGTCTAGATAACGTTATCGTTAAAGTAAATCAGGGATCTACAGCAAGAATATTTTCCAAGGACTCTAAAACTTATAGAGACATTGTTGATCATTTTGATGAAATGGAAATTGAATTCCATACGTACCAAATGAAGGAAGATAAACCACACAGAATAGTAGTTAAAGGGCTTCATCATAGCACATTAACTAGCGAAATTGTTGCCAATTTTAAAACCTTAGGTTTTGAAGCTCTTCAGGTGCATAACCCAAGATCTAGGTCTGACCCAGATGAGAAACTCAACATATTTTTTATCAATATTAAGCCATTGTGCTAAAATTAATGCCATATATGATATAGTAACTCTTTGCCGCCAACGAGTGCGAATAGAAAGGATGCGTAAAAGATCTGAAATAGCTCAATGTATTCGTTGCCAAGAATTTGGACATACAGCGAAGTACTGCCGCCGGCATCCTAATTGTGCTCGCTGTGGAGAAGATCACCATACAAAGCAATGTGTTCGTCCCCAAGATCAACCGCCTACATGTATGCACTGTAGAGGGAATCATACAGCAAGCTACAAGGGTTGCCAATCTTATCAAGAATACCTTAGGCGATCGATGAGTTCAAAAAAACAATCAACGCGACAACATCCACAACAAAAACGTCAGCAACAACAGCCAATCCGAGAGCAGCAATCTCAGCAAATGCCTAACTCTTCTGCCAGCAATAATATAGGCTTATCTTATGCCTCTATTGTAAGAAATGGAATTGGTCATGCCCAGCGCCGTCTACATGATCTCCAAGCGCAGCCGCAAGTACAAAATTCGAAGAATACTCAACAACAACAATATGTGCTTGACGTTCAGTCTATATTGGAGCAACAGCAACAGCAATTTATGAAATGGCAACAACAACTTCAGCAACAGCAGCAGCAGCAATTCTTTTTTGTGGTTACAACAACAGCAGCAGGAACAACAAAAGCAAAACAAACAGAACAGCCTTCGACTTGAAAGACTTGAAAATATGGTTTTCGAAATGGCCAATTCTATTAAGCAGTGGACTGGGGGCAAATCAGTGCTTCACAACAACGTTTCAGCCTCAAAATGAATACACTCAAAATCCTTATCTGGAATGTCAATGGCATTTCAGGTAAAGCCAGAGAAGTGGAATTCTTTGCGCACAACAACAACATTGATATTATACTTTTAAGTGAAATTAGGCTCAATCGAGGTGAAGTTGTCAAAATTTTCGGATATTCCTTCTATCCAGCATATAAACCTTCACGACATAATCAAGGAATGGGTGGGGCGGCGGTATTGGTAAGAAGCTCTCTCAGTCATTTCCCACAACGTATTATAGAAACGAAAAGCATTCAATTGTCTTCCATTAAAGTTGCGACCGGCTTAGGACTCGTGGATGTAAGCGCAATATACTGTCCTCCAGGCCAAAGAATTGTAGAAAGACATTTCACTGATATACTCTCTTCTTGTGGTCAGAGGTACATAGTTGGTGGTGACTGGAATGCTAGACATTGGATGTGGGGTGACACCTACAATTCACCCAGAGGCCGTGAGCTGGTTGAATCGATTTCAGCCAGAGGGTCCAAAATACTTGCCACTGGTTCACCAACGAGATACCCATATGTTCCTAGCCACACTGCTACTTGCATCGATTTTGCTTTATACCACGGAATTATGGATTCTCAAATCAATATCTGCCAAAACTGGGACTTGGAGTCTGATCACATTGCCCTTATTGTTAATCTACTAACAAATGGTTCCAATATCACCCGAAGCCCTCGGTTAATAACAAGTCGGACTGATCTCACTTCTTTCAAACAAATTCTTGATAACTCCTTGTTATTTTTCTAAAAAAATTCTTCTCAAGCTGAATTTTTTTTTAATAAAATAAAGGTAATACTTCGTGTTTTTAGACATAAACAAAAGCCTTGCTTGATCATAACAAAAGACTTAGGCCACAAACCTTCACCCAAAACTATGCAACACTTTTCTACTTTTTGTACACAAATCATTGCATCTCTGGTTGATGAATTTTATTTACTTTACCTATGTAAGTTCGTGTAGAATGTCAACATAAGGCATGTCAAGCTGAATTGAAGTAAAATATAAGAGTAGTGTGGGTCTGGTTTCCGGTTGTTATGATTGGGAGCACCTCCCACTTATTTTTTGGGGGAACCAGGCGCACATTTTAAGGTGCATATCAGATAACGATAATTATAGGTATTATTCTGGCAGTATAATGATATGTCGGAATGTGTATATAGTAGCTCTAGAAGGAATTGAAAGGTTCAGATTTGTCGACTAATGTATTTCAATCAATACAACCAAACTCTTTGGTTTATTTATATAACTCAGTGACCTACAATCAAGAACTATTTTGCATTCGTTCTTGCTCTTTAAAATAGGTCTTGAAGTATTTTTGATTGAATTAGCGGCATGCATTAAGGTCTGTGGCATAGTGTGCGTGATGCCAATTAATACCAATTAGCATCTGCTCGACGCATTTCATATTGCACTTGGCACTTGCACTTCCACACTCTCGCCATTCGCCCGGCGAACCTGGCCTGAATGGCTGGCAATTGCGGGGAACAATGGGAGAGCTGGAGGCGAAAGACAATGGCCAAATGGCCAAATGGCCAGCTGGGCCCTATCCGGTCCAATCCGAGCCACTCCGATCCAGTCCGGTGCCCGCTGCCTTACTAACCCAAATAGACGACAAACGCTGGCGAACTCGCAGATGCCGAAACTAGTTTTATGATCGTGTTTATGATGTTGCCGCTGCCCGACAACCCTATAAACAATGACTATTAGGCCAAGACACAAGGATGGACTGTGTGTGGAAGAGCTGCATTCCCCGCCGGGCGGAAAAACAAAAGCGCTTCAGGTGTTTGAAGGTTGCCATCGCCACGCCCTCTGCTGCAACCGAGATTTGTGGACTTGGGCAATCTTCATCTCGAAACTATTCAAACACCTCAAATCGAAGATCAGCAAACAAAGGAGGGGAGTAAACAAATCGCGCGAAAATTAACGCGTTTTATCTCAAGAAGGTGTAACAGTGAGCCATAAAAGTTTGATGCACAGTGCAAAAGAGCAGTCATAAAAATATTTTATATTTAAAAGCGATTTGAATGTTTGGTTTTGGTAATAACGGAATTTTTGTTAAATATTTAATGCCCAATCTTATGTAATTACATCAAATATTTCTTTGTTTACGGAAGTGTTTAAATAATAAACACTTATCATTACCAGACGATTTCATTTGCTTAGACAAATCAATCGATTGCAGCCAGACAAACAAAAATGTGAACAAACTTTCGAGACCTGAGACACGTACACAAAAAGTCATTCTGAATATTTTCAGCATTATTAAGCGGAGAAATATAAATTTACAGCGACTCGTGAGTAATCAATAAACGGAATCACCGAAGTTTCATTCAAAAGAATCACCTGATGATAAGCAGCCGTCAGCTGAGAATTACCATAACATCGTTCTTATTCACATTTATTCTTATTTATTCTCAAGAGGAAGATGAATCAAATCGCTTCTGGCTAACCCGTAACATTAAACAAAAGGGGTTGAACTTGAGAGATCTTGGCTGATAACTTCTAAATAACCAAATAGCCAAAACAGGTAAGACCGCCACTCGACTGGAAGCCAAAATAAATTGCATACACGAGCTCCGGCTACGAAGATGAACTACTTTTTTGAAAGTTCAATCTATCGGAATGCTAAACGAATCTCAAACATGCTAATGAAATCCGCATTAATTGCTTTGGCTAGGCCGCGAAATATAATAAAAGGCGTGTGGAAAATATCAGATGGGGTTATTTTTGGGTTTAAAAGAAGAATATAGATTACTTTTAAAGCTACTCAAATAAGCATCTTCTTTTTTTATGTTTTAAGGTGGAAGTTGGGTATGGTTGAATATGTAGCAAAAAGTTAGGGGAAACCGAAATAAATTTTGGTGAGTTTTTTCAAAGATTTTTTGTAATTGTATTTAATTAAAATTAAAGCGTTGTATGTTATTAATATAAACCTCTTTAAATCATATAAAATATAGCAAGTCAGACACTTGGTATATTATAATTTGTTTAAGAACAAGTCTAAATTATTTCAATTGTAAATGAATACGACCTTTATCATTTAACTTGATTTAAGGACACACCAGTTAGATCATTTTGAGTAGAAAAAGATAATCATACAATAAATCAACTGTTAAGGTTTGTTTCTTTTCCTAATTGAACCTATAACATCTTCGTTTTCCCCAATAAATCCGGAATATAATCCCCCACTTTTTGGTTACCCCACTCACCTGTTTGTTGGACTCATCCTCGGCGGCGGGCAGGAGCTTCGCATTGCTGGCCGTGGTGATGTTGTGCGCGGAGTGAGCGGAGGCCGAAACGGAGAAGTTCTTGGAGACGGCATCGTGGTCCATGTCGTGGTAGCCGCCCTGGATTTCGCTCAGTGTATTGTTGCTGCCGCTGAGGGTGACGATGCCGCTGGAGCTGATGCGACCGGAAGTGGCGGTGGTGCGTCCGCCACCACTGTCCACCACACTGGACACCGTGGAGATGCAACTGCGAGTGGTTTGCGGCGAGGGTGTCACTGTAGGCAGGTCCGTCTCGTTAGCCTTGGCCCTTCGCATATTCAGCCAGGACATTCGCTGCGGCTGCCGGCGGTCCAAGGTCACGGAAATCTGTCCATTTCCGGTTCCCCCGCCATTTGGCGCTCCACCAATGTAAACGCAGGTTCTCGAAGTCGCCGTTGAATCGCAGCGAATTCGGCCGGAGTTGTCATTGTGGTTGTGGTTGTTGTTGTCATGGCGCGGCAGGGTTGCCATGGCGCCGGATATCTGTCGGTAGGTGGGCGTGGCCGGGGGCTGGGTGCCACTTCCGGCACGGGCTAAGCTAAGCTGCTCGGCGAGGGCCTCGTTGCTGCTGCGGGGCTTGTAACTGCTGCTCATCGATCAGATCTGCGGATCACGATAATAAAACAAGAATGTCAGCTCAAATTTGTCATTCGAAATTAACCTTTTCTGTAGAAAAAAACATACAAATTTGGGATCGAATACCCTTTTCTCAGGAGTGCCACACAAGGCAAACAAATTTCAACATAAATTAAATCATAGGAATATTTTGGGATAGGTCAAAGGAAACCGAAATGGGTTGGCTTACCAATAAAATTTTTAAGAGTTCCCCAAAATGAAAAATATTAAAAGATCGAAAAAAAGTATATGTGATATGAATGTATTAATCATTTAAACGCAATACTTTAAGTTTTTAATTAGTTTAAGCGTTTTTGGTCAATTCCCCCTGCTCACTTTTCTGAAACGTTGATAATTTTGTTTTCTAATTCTATCCCTAATTTGTATGATTTAATGATTTAATGATTTTTCAATATACTTGTAGCACTCCTTAAGCCTTAACAGCTGTTAAAAAATCCTATGATAAAACTAATTGTTTGAAAAACCAAATCAAGCAAACATGATAAAATTTTTCCTTGTGTCCGTGAGTCAATTTCGTGGAAATATCAGAATGACTTCAAAGTCGAACTCCGCCAGCGGAGTTCACACGAAGCTCGAAAATCAAATTAAAAACACGATTATATCCGCTTTGGTTTTCGTTATAACGAAATGATTCATATGGGAGATTGACTTTGGCTTTTGGCTGGGGCTTTGTTTTGGGCCTGTTTAGACAGCGAATTTGCAAGCGAGAGAGAACAATGTGAGTCCGTTGAACGGAAAGTGAAAAGTCCCCAAAATTCGCAGCTCTGCGAAAGTGAAAGCCCTTTGGCCATTCTACCGCATACTGATGGCCAAATTATGCTGTGGATTATGACATTGTCTCCACAGATTCTGCAGCCCCTTTTGTCATACCATTGAAAACAAATCAGAGCAAATCACTTTATTTCTGATCTAGACAGGTGACTTTTTCGCTGCTGAAATTTCACTGACAGGTTATTTTTATCAGACACTGGCAGAGAAAACATCTAGACAGAAAGTTGACAACAATGAGAGTTGAAACAAAGTCGTAAAAAACAACTGTTCCAATATGAACATGGCAAAATAAAAACGCAAAAAATAAAAAGTCAACAAAAAACAAAACAAAATAAAACGAATCGAAAGACACACAGCGATATCAGTTGCTTGGGTCTCTGTTTCCCAACTTATTTTATTGACCTGAAAATGAGTTTCTCGTGCTGGAACAATTTTTAGCGTTCCATTGCCACCGCTTAACCCATTGGCTGTCAACTCTTAATTAAATCAGCGTTATTTGGAAATTTTGAATGGGAAGATAACCAACAAAAGCCTAATTGGAAAAAACATAAAGGGGCTGGGAAACATTTTAAAAGTTAATAATCTTATGGCAAAATCTTTATCAACATTTGTATTGTGCTAATCTCTAAGCCAGAGTTTAAGAGTCAGTTTTATTGGCCATTTGCTATCAAGGATATTCAAATATAAAAACCCGTTTCAATAGTTTAAATTCTATTCTGATAAAACGTAAATAAAATTTGTTCAAGGCGTTCCTATTTAAGTAAATAAACTCTTTATTAGTGTCCATATTTGCCATCCCATAATCTGTCAATATATTTTTAAAAGAGAGATAATGAAGAGACTTAAATACGTTCATAATTATGCCAGCTACTGTCTTCGGGCCTTGGCAACGCAAATTAAGCAAATATATGCGACTAATAATCATTAATTAAGCCAAGTGCTCAAATATGTTTGCCGATTGGCGTTTATATATTTAGCACCGCAGGAAATAATTCAAACGGCACGATGACTCAACTCAACTCGACTCAAACATAACATTTCGATTATTAAGGTTGTGTCATTATATTAATGACGACGCTCTCATCTTATCGCCACAATGGCACACATTTATCACGGCGACAGCAGCAGCCTCTTATCACAATCACCTGAAATGCATATTTACAAATAATTATGCACGCTTGCATAAATGAGCAAAACGCTTCACAAAAAGGCGAGAGAAGAAAACAAAATCAACTTTTAACATGCGATCGAGTTCGGTGACCAGCTAAACAGTCCAAAAGAGGCCGTATCTCAATCTTGCTCGGGTATTTACACAAAATTTCGTTCATTTACTGGGCTTTCAGGCCGCCAAGTCATAAAAATAAATACAGGTGAGATTCGGGGGTGTTCGACCCAGGAGATATCCTAAAGGACAAACCAGGTATGACAATGGGGGTAAGAACTTCGTCTGATTTTATTACCTCGAAACTTGAAACTAATTGTGAAGATAAGAAACAGTACTAATTAGAGCTATACAAGATAACCTTATTTGGAGTAGTTCGATAAATTGGAGTGTAACGATTATGTACTTTATAATTAAATATAATATTTAATGTATTTTTGCATATTAAAATCAGCCTAACAATAATTAATAGATTGTTTATATAAAAAAAAACTCTAAAAACTTTTTAGCAGGTAGGGGTTTGCTTGCCGCCTTGAAAAACCGGTTGCAAAGTTAATGAAACCTATTGCGTTTACTAAGAACATTTCTTTTATATTTCATATACTATATATAAATGTTATATATACTTATATCGGTATACACTTTTTGATTTCTGTTATCGATTCATTTGTAGGTGTTATCATTTAAATTTGCTTAATGTCGACAACATTATTTAACCCAAATTATTATCTCTGTCGTGTCTTGAAACACAGTCCCTTAAAAGTAATTTTTTTCCTGCAAAGTCCCATCTTTTCGGATCAAGTTACTTCACCCAGCCGTTGTTTATCCACAAACAGGCATTAATGAGTACCGGGTATCGGAGTGTTTACGGCGTCTTCGCCCAAATGAACGCACCAAAGTGGATGACGGCGGCGTCTCCACTTGTTTATTATTGAACATTTTGCAAACAAATGCGGCGCCAAAGAGCCCGAGATTTGCATTTGCATGTTGCAGATAGAGATACGGATACAGATACAAAGGCGGAGAGATGTGAATGTCTGTTGAGATACTTTGGTGGCCGAGTCACTCACAAACACACAGACAGACAGACCAAAGTAAAAACTGTGAGTAGCCGGGGCGGAACCAAAAACCGGGATCGCTCGACCGTTGGCAAAAAGATTCAGAGAAACCCAGTCCAGCGGGACGGAGACCGAAGCCAAGGGATCCGGCGATCCGGCGATGCATCAAGTTACAAGTTATTAACAGGTACGAGTGCGAGTACAAGTGTTGCCAAGGAAAGCACCCCACACATAATACCGAACACCGAATGCCGAATACCCGTAGATGTGCCTGCTTTTCTTTGTGCACTCAAACCGAACGGCGACAAGTGCGATGGCTGGGGTTTCGAAAACTATGACACTTGATAAAGGTTCTGGCGAGGGCAGCATACCATATACTATATATCGCACTTTATATATAGAAATGCCGGTGGTGCCAGCAGAAACTTCAGCACAATTACTGAATTCAGCCGGGTGTAACCACAAGAGAACTGCCACTGACCAAAGGCGAACATTAAGTTGCCATTTAGCCCGCACTTATGGCTCAGAGAACCCAAACAAACCGCACAGAACCCCAGATACCATAATTCCACCTTTGGCAATAAAGCTTTTTAGCTGAAATTATCAAGGGTTCACTTCCAAGGAAACCCCAAGAATCAACTGCCTTGGCAGTCATTACTTTTAATGGAAAAGCAAATGGTCGGATGAAGCTGACGTTAAATGAAAAAGCTTCTCTTATGGAAAACTAACAAAACAAAGAACCCGCAATATCAATCAATTTCTGAAGGTCAAAGTAGTTGAAGGGTTCTGTAATAAGCAAATGAATTTATGATACCATCTTAATGGGTTTTTACTTTATCAAATATTCAATGATTTTTGAATTGTTTTGATTTGTTCTTTAAGTGCTTAAATTTATCGTTAAGCTTGAAAGTATTGGAACAGGAGTTTTCCTAAGTTTCTAATTAAACTTTTATCATCATAAGTTTAAAAAATGTTAAAAAATCTTTGTTGCTGTAAAGATTAAATGGAAATGTTTGGTGCGTTATTTGTGCTATATTTTCATAATACTTTTGGTTTGATAGTGAACCATTGTCGGACACCAAGAAAACCAAAAATCAAATCAATAAAAATACGACATGAGAGAATCATGATATTAAAATAGAATACTTTGTTGTTCTATTTTTCCCTATGTGCGCTAACCTTTAACTTAAATAGCTTTCAGGCCGCATTAAACTACCGTCAATTAAACGGCGCACTATGATTTATTTCGAAGCCAATTGTAACGAGCACACGTGGTTGACCTTTGCCAGGGCGAAAGTCCAAACTGCCGGTGATTCGAACGCCCATTATAGAGCTGAACCTGAACCTGAATCTGAATCTGAACCTGGGGAAAAGGCAGAAATGTCACAAGTGGCAGACAAACAACAGACTGTTTCCATTCACCGACTGACGGCACTAATTTGTGTCCGACTGTGTATCTAATTAGGGGATCATCCAACGGGGAGAGCAAATCAAATCAAATCAAATCTCGTGGCAACAATTCATTTAGTGGATCTCGGGGATAATCGCGATTGGCATGCTGCTCTGCTATGGGCCGTATCTTTAAATCTAATGGCCGTATCTGTATCTCAATCTGCATTCGTGTAATTGAAAGTCTGCGCTCGGCCTGGCGTAAAAGGAAAGTAAAAAGTATTTAGATGGGTCTACAATCTACTGTCTACTGACTACTGACTACTGACTACTGTCTTCTCGCCCCTTTCTTCTGCTTCTGACGGCTCACAGATCACCGATCAGAGCCACCATCGAAAGTAAAAACAACAAAGCCAAAGCCGAAGCCAAAGCCAAGATACTTGGCCAACTGGCAGCCGACTTGACACAGTTTCTCAAAAGGCGAAGATTATGTAAAATTATGTGCAAATTGAATTGAAACTCAGGCGACACAAGTAAAAGTATCTGTGTATCTCGGCATCCGCGCGTGTCCGTACCGCATTGATTGC